AAAAAAGTTTAAAAAAATAAATAAAAAATATTTAAAAATATATATATATATATATATATATATATACGAGTTTTGTTTAATATCGTAAGATCATATCGTTCCTTGCTCTTGCTATGGAGATTAACAACATACAGGAATGGTGAAAAACCTTTGGTGGCTCAGAATACCGCAGAGGAATGGATATTTTTTTTTCAAATTTAAAAATAATGAAATCCCATCAAAATATGAAGAAAACAGACCTACATTTACAAATGTTGTCCTCAGGGTTATGCCTTTGAAATTTCGAATCCTTCTATCAGCTAAATGTATAACCTTCAGTCCGCTGGCTGATGACCATTCTGCCACTTTGTCCTTTAATATGCAACTTCCTTTTTCATTCATGTCAGAACCGTGGATAGCTAGTTTTGAATTGTTATTACTCTAAAAAAGAATTATATAGATGTTTTGGTAAAATATCATGCTCTACATCTTCGGGAGATTGATAAGCACCGTTCGAGGAATGGTGACTTAACTATAAAGAAAACTGTAGATTCTCGCAGTGACTTTATTTTACATAAACTCTAAATATAATACGATATACATAGCATACATGCATAACATAGACTATTTATGACTACAGCTATCATTGACACAGAGTTTCAGCCCGGAGGGTAATTTTTCGATATAATTACCGTTTTGTATGGTAATGACAATTCTGGTAAAAGAAAAAGAAGCTATAATTCTTTGTAATAAAACCAAAATGTATGGTACTTAAACCACTTATTCAGTAATTTTTCTGTTCATACAGTAATGGTTTCCCGGAAATTCTCATTTTCAAAATCATAGTTCGGTTTGAATTCGGTTGAAACAATGTGAGGTGTGCTTTTCTGTATTACCTCACATTTAGTAAAAAATACAGAACTGAAAAATAAATTTAATCGAATAAATGGTTCTTATACCATGCTCAAAGTTATTATGTTAATTACCAAATTTCAGCACATTTATCAAACTTTATCACATGTTTATTATTAATTATGTTTATTATTAATTATCGCATGTTTATTATTAACTAACCATATTTTATTATTACTTTTAACAAAATTATTACCAAAGTATTTCGGTAAAAATTACCGAAATTTTAGGTGAGTTCAGAGATACGGTAAATTATAGCATATTCTGGTAGTTTTGAACATGCTTTTTTTCTCAGTGCGGATACACGAGAATATTAGGCCCTCTGGATGTATTGCACATCGAGCTAAGAGATCCATCCCTGTGTATAATGCTTGATCCAAAGATCAGATTTTTATATCTAATATTTGAATTTCCAATCATCAAGACTAGAGTACTTTTAAAGATCAATCCTAGTTTTAAATATGATAAATTATTAGTGCTATTTATTGTGTGTCCCAAAAACGACTTTCGGTTTCTCTACTTTTCTAATATGTCATCAGAAATTTCAGATTTTAAATAAAATAACAGTTATATGCACAAATCAAGATTTTTCAGTTTTTTGAAGGAAAAGATTTTGCTCGCGAACTGCGGATTCATTTTCAACACTCCCAAAAAACATAACAGAATTTTTCAATATTTCCAGACTTTCCTCCGTTGTTCAGTCTAATAGAAACGTATGGTTTTCCGAGTTAAGTTCAGAAAATCTGGTAATTTTTTGATCAAATTTTGAACATTAGATACAATTCTCGTCAACAGATGACGCTGATGGCCAGAGAAATTACAAAACAATGGTTTCTGCCTCACGTCCGACCATTCTAATAAAATTAGGTATTTATTCGGACGTATCTTTATGTAATTAGTAGTGGTTATATATATATAATATGTATTTGAAGTTTTAGTTCGCCTCATTATATGAAAAAACTTGTAACATTTCGGGAACCGCAGTTGGTTAGGCGATAGAACGGTACTTTTATATAAGGTGACCCAGGCTCAAATCCCAGTGATGGCCGGTTGATATGAATCCTGTTCCTCCAAGCTCGGAACGCAGTACTGATGTAAAATTTCTTCAATGGTAGACGGATCATGGGTTAGAATTCCCTTGCAGTCGGGCTAACCGTGGAATAGTTTCGCGTTTTTCCTCTCCACATAAAGAAAATGCAGGGAAGTTCTGCATTGAGTTCAAAATTACAAGGCTAAGGAATTGAACATTGGTAGATGAAAACCCAAAACTGGGTCAGCTGTTCAACCCTGATTGCAAAATAAAATAAAACTTCTTAAGGATTTCTGAAGCATTGTGAGAGTGTGTTACTTAGTTTCCAAAACAAAACGCAGCAAATAATACATCTCTGTCAAGAACTGTTTACTTTTAATTGGTTTTTAAAATTCTGTCATTTTTGGGACTCTTGATATCAAGTTACGAAATCAGTCCGCAAACCTTGCTGTTTCTGTAAAGAACAATATTTTTTGATTTTGACGGGTTCGAATTTTGACTCTCAAACATAGTTGTTAGCTACATTTATGGTTATAAGTAATCTTTCAGAGGAATGTCTGAACCTCTTAATGTTATTTTTACTCTTTGAAACATAGTTACGCAATCCGAACAAAAATTGCATGCATTTACATCCCCTCGCTCCTGATTTCCTTTTAAATTTACATTTAATAGTTATTTATTGCAGTTTTTCGTTTTTTAATTTTATACTGACTAAAATAGAAATGTCAATGAAGCGTCTAAAATTTTTTTACATAGTTTTATAACGTAAATTTATAAGTAAAAACTTGAGAGTTCTACAAAATCATGTAAAGAGTTGAGGAGACAAAAAAATTTAAAAATATAAAAAGAGAAAAGAACGCTGAAGCGTAAAAATCCTCAACCATTCTTCTGACTAGACTATTGGAAGTGTGTTTGGCAAATTGCGACTGATCTTCAATATTAAAATGGAAGAGGAGATTTCAAATCCAGCGAAATAAGGAAGACCTACTCAGTAAAACAGTGTTTCTGTAACTAGCTTTCGTGATTTAATTGTGCAGAAGCAATAACTGTTTAACATAATTGAAAAAAGTATTTTTCATGCCATCGTATGTAAAATCTGATCATTAGATTATGATGATATTTAGGAATCATCATTATATTTTATGCATTATTACACATTATATATGTTACCGTTAAAGTGTATAGTTCAGTTACTTCATAGAATAACTAGGTATTTCATGATATAACTAGACAAGTCAGTTAAAGTATATAATAGATGAAAAATTTCGTACTTAACCTAGTTATTCTATGATGTAGTAGCTTATAATAGACTGTTAAAGTGAAAAATAAACAATTCCAAAGTTATTTTATAAATTAATTTATCAAACATAGCTAAAATCTCTCAAAAAATAAATTATATCTCTATTGCGAATGAATAATTGATAAGTAATAAGGAAAAGCAGTGGATATAATTTATTATTGCTCATAACGATAACTTCGTCTGAAATCAACGGAATGACGCCATTGCAAAGCAGCTATAAAAGGTTCAAAAATTACTAAAAGCAGGTGGAACCTGTCCAAAGAACTTTCGAGTGCCGTATTTTATACTTTAACGATCTAATAACCGTTATTCTATAGAATGGCTATAGTTAAATCGTAGATTTCAGTAATTTTAAGAACCTTAACTGACTTGTCTAGTTATTTCAAGAAGCACTTAGCCTGGTGGGCAGGGCCCTGAACTCATGTTTGTGAGGACGGGAGTTTGAATCCAACCGGTCGAAGACATCTCGTGTATTAAATGGTTACTGGCACACGTTAAATAGGTTGGATCACAAAGTCCTCCACATTCGCATAGCAAATCAACACAGCTGGGGGTACTGAATTGGAGATGGATCGTTCTCTGGTTCAGGTCAAAATTACGATCTGTGGACATATGAATCGATATATGAATGGGTCCGGTTGAAACGGTCCGGTTGAATGGGTCCGGTTGATATATGAAACGGTTGCGACGTCTGGGTGTGGCGGAAGTCAAATTCTAGGCCACAGATGGCGCCACTGGAGAAATAGGAAGAATCGCATCCCCTCTGCCTTAGCAACTGACGACAACACCAACTGAATTATACACTTTACGGATAACAAATACATCTTTTTACATTTACACTTTCATAAATGAAAATGTCAAAAGTAACATACATTTAACTGAACTTAACTGTGAATTTTTGAGACACTAATAAAATGGTTTGTATTTTATTAGCTCTTAAGTTTTACTTAATTCCTTTTTCGTAATAAAAATTTTATTTCTCTCATTTCCCAACTGATAATTATTTTCCAGTTATTTAATATGCTAAATGATTTTCTTATGAATAAAATAAATTTAAATAATGTGTAAAGAGATTAAAAAAATTATGTAATATGAAATAATTATTTTTTCTTGTTGCCATCAGAATTCGTAATATATGATTATTATTATTGTTTTGAAATAGAGTAAATTTTGATTTTTAAACAGATAATATTTGAACATTTTGAGATAATCTTATGCATCCTCAACATTTATTTCCCTTAGATAAAAACTTTTCATTAAATGAATAGAACAATATTTGCATTTGTTATACAAGTTCTTTTTAAAACGAGAAATTCTCAAAATATATTTTAAGATTCAGCCTGTCAAATTAAATTTTGAATAGCGAGTGCTATTTGAACAATAGTTGCTCTTTTAATTTTACAGAGAGAAACAATAGAATCCTTTCCTGTTTTGTAGTGATGTTTTGAATTTATTTAAAAGTGATTCTAACTGTTTGTTGCAGTGTATTAAAAGCAAACAAGAGAATACTTTGTATTGCTTTTACTTATTTTTGTATGCTTTAGAAATAAGACACATAAATGTAAAATATGAATAAATAAAAATTGTTGTATAGAGATGGTAAGTCATATTTGTAAGTATTATATTGTCTTGTTCTGGAACTAAACAAATACAAACGAGTGAAATTTAAATTCAAAATTATTTATTTTAATAATAGTTAAATAATAACAGTATAATGATAGATAGATTTTTAAATACGTATTATTTCAATAACAACAATGGATTATTAACGAAAGTTAAAAGAATAAAAGTGCTTGAGTGACAATATTAGTAACAAAAATGGACTCATTATGAGGGTTGAAAAAAGTAAGAGTTCTTGAGAGACATTAATAGTGATAGTAATGAATTAATTATGAAAGTTGAAATAGTGAAAGATCTATAGAGAAATATTAGTAACAACAGATTAATAATGGATTTTCAGAGAGTAGAAGTGTTTGAAGTACAATAATAGGGACCACAATAATAAATAATAAATATACACCGAAGAGCCATTGCATTATGACCCTCCTGCATCTGTAACAATGGGCTCGTTCTTGCTCGGGAACAATGTTTTCTTGGGATACATTAGGACCCAGAGTCCTCATAGAACAATCCCTGACGTCTGTAAGCTACTTGAACATAGTTGCAGACCAGGTTAACCCATTCATCGCAACATTTTTTCCTGCGGGGGATGATGTTTGCCAACAGGATAATGCACCTTGTCATAAGGGTCGAATCGTCGCGGAACATTCCAGTGACTTTCAAGTCATGTCCTGGCCCCAAAATTCACCTGACCTTAATCCAATAGAGCATTTGTGGTCCTACATGGAAAACCAAATTCGTGATGCCACGCTACCCCCTCGCAATGTGAGGGAATCGCAGGACCAGTTGGTGAGCGCTTGGTACCAGATACCTCAGACTACCTATCAGCACCTTGTGGAATCAATGCGACGGCGGGTGCTAGCAGTTTTGAGGGCTAAAGGTGGTCCTACATGCTATTAGCAGGGTGGTCATAATGTAATGGCTCTTCGGTGTATAAATAAATAATAAAAAATTATAAATATATTTAATAATGAATAATTATAAATATCATTAATAATAAATAATATTAATATGATTAATAATAAATGCGAAAACAAGGAGAGTGCTTGGTGGACAACGTTCGCAAGAACAATGGACTAATGATGAATATTTCAAGAATGAATTGCTTGAGGTACAATGTTAGTAAAAACAATGAATTAATAATAAATGTTGAAAGAATAAAATTGCTTGAAGTACAATAGTAGTAATATGAATGAATAAATAATAAATGTTAAGAGAATGGAAGTGCTTGAGTGACTGTGACAACAATAGACTTATAATGATTCTTGAAATAATGAAAGTACTTGAAAGTCATTATTATTAAAAATGGATTAATAATCAATGTTAAAAGAATGAAAGGAAAGTGAATGAAAGAGACAATATTTGAAACAGAATTTTAATAATGAGTGCTAAAGAATTAAATAAACCTCAAGAGAAAGTATTAATTAAAAACAATGAATTAATAATTAATGATAAAATGTTTACGGGACAGTATTAGAAAAAAATAAAGCTTAATCTAACAGTCATTAACTAACTTTTACGAACTCACAATAGTTATTAAAATATATTATTCGTTCAAAAGTGGTTTTCTGAATAAGAAATTAGTGCTTTGGAAAAACTGCCCGAAGTCAGAGTTTGAAGTTAGTTTTAAGCTATATTTTCTGATATATACCCAAAACGTATATGGTTTAAGTACTCTAAGCAGATTTCCTTTGGTTCTAACTTTGAATTGAAGTAGATACGAAATTATAAATTTCGTTAAAAGCAATTTTTAAAATCACAAATGGTAAATTTTATGTTAAAAACCTATACACGTTTCAATTCTACAAAGGTACATCTTTGGTTGGATAACGGTCGGCAGGATAAATTGCAGGCATGTTGGAAATTATAATAATTTATAGTTTTGCTATCCCTGCTTTAATCTTCATTGTAATATCTTATTTTGTTTGTACTTTCACATTACTTTTTGCCATTTAATATAGCAAATATTCAATCATGATATCGATTACTTAATTCTTTTTAAATTACACCTTTGGTCATTGTATGCTAATGGGATTTTGTTTCTTAGGAATGCATTAACTAAAGTCTACCTGTACATGATTGAAAGAAAAATTTAAAGAAAAATTGATTCAAACATTTGTTTCGGGATTTTAAACATAATGTAGCATTTACATAAGGAAGTTTGGATTAAGTAGAAATTTTTATAATTTTATGGTAAACATAAAGAAATAAGCATACCAAATCGCCTTGTCTTGTGACATAAAATGCTCTCCAACAAACAGTGGAAGCATTCACGTATTTCAGTAGTTGCAGATCATCAGGATGTGTATCCAGAAAAATCCATCGATAAAAACAAGGGTTTGTTAAACTCATTCTTACTTTGTAAGCCTGTTGAAATAGACAAGAAACTGTTATGAAATTATTTCAAATTGAATGTGCATGCATTATTAAATTTAGCTGTAATAAACATTCTCTCTATTACTGTAAATCATCCCCCCCTCTAAAATAAATATAAGCATTAAAAAAGATGAATTTAAAATAGCTTTTAACATTGATTCAAAAAGCACAAAAACCATATTTTTTAAGTCTAAATTCGTCGAAATTTCAATTTTCTGATGTGATTAAAAAAAAATTGTATAGTATTCAAATTGTTGTTTTAAACCTGAATAAATGTTACTTTGTTTTAGCTTTTTAAATAAAATGATATCATTTGAAGAGCATTAAAAATTATAAATAAATAAATGATATAAAATCATTCAAACCTCACCCTAATAAAAGAGCTAGGGTCAAATCGATTTTCAAATAATCGATTAAAATGTTTGTGTGTTATGCCTTTCCTAGTATTAAGAAAACACAAGTATTGAGGAAAATGTCTAAAATAAGAAAAGTATAAATTTTAATCTTATTTACACAAATTCTCCAAAATATTAATTAGACACACCATTTACTCAGATTTTTAATTGCACGAAGAAAATAAATTCTGGTAAAATTACCGTATAGTATGATAGTGACACTTCTAGCTAATAATCCATAATTCTGGTTAATAAAACCAAAATATACGGTATTTAAATAATTCATTTGGGAATTTTTCCGTTTATATACCTTAGCGGAAATTATGGATTTCAAATTATAGTTCTTAATACCACAGATTTAATAAAATATACGAAACTGAAAAGTAAATTTAACCAAACAAATGATTTTGATGCCATGCTCTATGAAATTACGATAAAATTCCAAATTGTGATACTTTTTATCAAATTTTATCTCATATTATAAAGCCATATTTAATTGCTAATTTTAACAAAATAACTAGTTTGGTAAAAATTACTGAGCTTTTTGATGTTTCCATAGGAGCAGAAACGCTGTTAATTTCGACTTTTTCTGTTAGTTTTGACCACATTCTTTTCTTAGTTTTTTAAATAAGAATTTAAAGGTTTTAAAGGGAAAAATTCTCATCGATTATTTACATATATATAATTGAGGAAGCTTTTAATATCATTCTTGAAAGACTAGTTTAATAAAATGTTTTCCCTACTTTTGTTTTATAATAATTGAAAGAGAAATGGGCAATCATTTAGCTAACTCCTCTTGTAATTTTTCTTCTCTCATATTCAAAATATTTTGCTCTGGAATTCTTACAAAAGAATTCCATAATCTAGAGCTGATAATAAGGGAAGTTATTTAAGGTATTTTAATAATATTTATAAAATTACGCATTTTCTTGTTGCAGAGAAATATGTGACTCTCTATCATAACATGACTATACTTTAATTGTTGCTATTTCTCCTATACTCTATCTTAGAAAATAACCTACATAGGTGTAATAAAAACTGGTGATATAAGATTATTATTTCTAAAAATAATCTCCATTTAAAATCCACTGCTTTTAAGAGAGAAGTTAAACTACATACATTATCAATATAATGTTATTTAACATATACAACTTTTATGATATAACATATGATTTAACATATACAAAAAATTATGATATATTTATTTTTAAAATAGTTAAATCTGTAACTTATATTTGACATTTTTAGAAATTAGAATTTATACAAATAAATTAAAGCTTAAAACAAACATAAGAACATAACTGTAAAACAATCTTTTGAAGTTATATTTCACTATTATATCCTGTTGTTATTGAAAATAAATATGGTTATTAAATCTAGTTTTAAATTTATATATGATATATCTAAGATATAAAGCTTAGGCTAATTGAAAGAAAAGAGCTGAAACGTATAGATAACATATTTGTCGAATAATTTGATTTTCGTTATTCTATTCTACTATTATATAATATATCATCATTATTTTTAAAAATGATTGTCATTCAAAATTCTCCACTTAAAAGAGAAAAAGTAAAACTATCTTACCAACGTAATTATTTTTGAGCAAAATAAAATAAATTCATTTTCAAATTAATATACGCAACTTATATTAATTTAGAGAAAAAAAAGTATCTGAATCACGTAAAAATAACTATAAGTTACATAATTGTTGAGAAATGTGATTTTGGTTACATATTTAATTTCAGTATCGTATTCAAAAAGCTATTTTTCTGCATGACATTTTCAGAAATTAGTATGTTTTTTTTTTATTAAATCTATTGAGAATTTCATTATATATCCATAACTCGTTTATTTCTGGTTACTGTCAAAAACTGAGCTTTCACAATGTTTGTAATGGATAATGAATAAATTCTTTTTCCCCAGAGAAACTTCATCCGATGCTTTTCATTTTTAGCTTTATGATTAATAGAGTTTGTGGAAGTCAGAGAGATATTCGATCCCGAAAATCCTCTTAGGATTTAGAAAAGAAAAATATTTATTAATTATTAAGAGTAGCTTTATTTTTTATTTTGACTTTGAGGTATTTTGCCAGATTTTTTTTTATTATAATGAATGAATGATACAACCATAATGAATTAGGTGGGCTGTTATTTATTTCTTGAAACTGGAAAAATACGTATGTGAGATATTTATTATTTGAATATGGAGGATATGGTTAATAGTTTATTCAGGACGAGATAAAATATGTTGACTTGTGTAGCGACTTCATGAAATATTGAAATTAATTCTTTTATAAATATATTATTTTAGAGACCGATCAATGTAATTCCCTGTTACTGTTTAAGATGGTTGCATTTATATTATAATTGTACTAACAAATCTGTGTACATGAAATGCGTTTATTTTAAGTGGTTATGAAATCGACTTGCTCGTAGCTTTTGACCAAACATAGTTTTAAGGTGCTGCAGCAATCTGAATGCATGTAGGGTGGCTTGTCAGTTAAAAAAAAGCACCAGTGCACTGAATACCGAGCAAGTATATACCGAGTAAGTATATACCGAGCAAAGCCTTTTATCGTAAACTTATCGATGTAAGGAATATCGGACAATGTTAATAAATGCACAATTTTTGTCATATTTACAAAAAGACATGCTTATTATTCATAATCTCTTTATAACAACCAGACTAACTGAAATAATGACAGGAATGTGTCGACTGTTCATTTTCATGTACTTGGTCAATATTCCCTGAATTAAAATTTTTTTTCTGGTTACAGGCCATTTCACGGTATACACTTGTCCGGTATTCCCTACAATGTTTTTTAAGAATAAGATCCATTCTTGAAATTCCTTCCCCTGATGAGTAAAACGCAGTAACTTTCACGCATTCGCTCTGAGTTCATCTTCTTGAAACGTCGCTTGAATCAGAGGGTAGACACAACTATAAAACTGTAATAATATTATCTAATAAAAGCCACATTTGATGACCCTCGTGAACTCGGTATTTCATGGCTTCTTATTGCATTCTGGTGTTGTGGTAATGTGACATTTCAATAACTGTTATTAAAACAGAACTATATAAAGTTAAAAACTTTTACACATAAATGTGAACAAGTCCCCAAGATAAAGAATTTCATGGACATTCGCCCAGAGATTAGTCTCTATTTTTGAGCACGCGTGACAGAGCGTGAAATTTAAAAAGCACTACGATTTTGACATTTCCGATCTCGTCTTCCTCAGTAATGTTTTGTTTTATTTTAATGAGATCTTTGTTGTGATTCCCGACGGATCGATAATCTTCAGCTTAGTTCTGACAATTACTCTGAAAATATTCATGTTAATGGTTGTTGTTGCTGTCTTAGGCCATTAAGGCACTGGGGGCGTGATTGTGCTTGTTTTCCAGTGGCGCTATCTATGGCTAAGAATTCAAATTCTGCCACACCCCTGATTCATACTCTTTTATAGGGTGGATCCATTCATACATGTGTTCATTTAACCACTGATCGTAATTTTGACCTGAACCAGAGAACGATCAATATTTAATCCTGTACCCCCAGAGGTATAATTTGCAATGGGAGCATAGAGGACTCAATGACTTGACAGATTTAACGTGTATCAGTCACCATTTACTACACTGGGAGTCTTAAGGCGGCTGGATTCAAACTCCCATTTTCACGAACGTGATACCAGCGCCCTACAAACCAAGCTATCCCGGGTTCATGTTAATGGTGGTTAACGCGAGTAAAAAGAGTGCATGGATGGTAGGAACCTCAACATTTCTCCGTCCCCCTATGAAGGTTTGTCTGCTGAAAAACATCCTAATGCTGTTTAGATTGTGAGGAGAGAATTTACTAATCGTAATATCTGCAAAAAGTTTCCACTGCTGTTCGCGATGAAACGTGGTTTCTGCATAAAAGTGCCCCGGTAAATTTTAAAGTTATTTTCAGAAATGACCGGATTGCATGTTTTGCGGATTGGGATTTTGCGGTGTTGGGAGCATAAATGATGTACCCCTACATCTGGATTAATTGAGCTCGATTTTTTCTCATCTATTGTGGGTGCTAGCAAACGTGAAAATTAACATTTTCAAAAATATTCGTCCATGATCCTTTCCATAACTACCAACCACGCATGTATGCAATCGCAATTTTAAGCATTGTGGCAAAGAAATGATTTTGAAATGATGCTTTGAAATGATGTTTTAAATAAATAAGGCTTTTTCTTTTCATGTCACGACACGTTATTTTTGATTTTGAACACGTTGTTTCAACTTATACAAAACATTTATAAAAATAACATTATTTTGGTATTAATTTTGCTATTTTGGTATTACTATCCACTAAGAACTTTTTTTCAGATTAATACCAATGCAGCCACTATTTTTGTTTATTGGGCAAGCTTATTTTGAAACTATAAACAACAGGTATTTTCTGTAACAACTGTTTCATATCTTTTATAGAATCACAAAACAAAATGTTGATTCTAAAAACTTGTCACAAAATAGCGTGGGAAAAAGCGATATGATTGCATTTGCAAAAGCTCATTGTAATAAAATTATTTTGCTCATATTGTCCTTAAATGACATTTGAG